CCAAGAGAGAGAGAGAGAGAGAGAGAGAGAGAGAGAGAGAGAGAGAGAGCGACTCTGATACTCTTTCCTTCGATATACTCGCGCGATTCTCGTTCGCTGATTATTTCTCCGTGCATTTCGGGATCTTCCTTTCTCACCGCGACGCGGAGTTACCTCCGATGTGATCTAATTCCATTTTACACGCTGGCGGTAACGTGCTTAAAGCCAAAGGAAGTCTAGGCAATCCGCGAGTTCCGATATCTTTTCTCTTCCGGCCAGCGATGAAAATTTTCGTGTTATTTTAGCGATAACATCGTCACGGAGTGAAAGCGGCTGCGAATCGCTGATACTATGCACGACGCGACCGTAGGGTCGAAAATAAGTGCCTCGTAACCGTGATTGTAGGAACTACTATATGCAGCCGGCGCCTCCGTTTCCCAGATCCCGAAAGCAGGCGCGAAATGTCGAGGAGAATCTCTCGTGCGAGCGCAGAAACACGAGAGAAGACGATGGAAGAACGAGTTGCGACCAGAGAGGGAGAAACGCGAGAGGAGAGAGGAGTAAGGCGATGTAGTCGTGCAAAGAGCTTCGAAATGTATTGAAATTCGCGTTCATGTGCGAAAAAAGAAGAACACGCCAAAGGGGTAAAGTCATCATGAAACAACGCCGCGCGCGCACGCAAGCTTCTTAAAAATCGCGTTTCGTCATTGTTGGAACGAATAATCTCAGCCGTTACTTCTTTCGCAAAATCGACAGTATTTTATTCTAAAATGGAGGGAGAGAGAAAGAGAGGGAGATCGCATTTCGCGAGTATAGGTATGCAAACCGACGTCGTTGGAAGATAACGTTATTTTAGTCACGATATAGTCTCAAACTGGATATCGTCGACCGCCATCGGAATATCCGCTCGTCCCATTCTCGTTACTCCGTCTTTGCCTTGAAGTAATAACTAGAAGTGGGCAAATCTCGAAAAGCCCTGAGAGTCCGCGCGGCTAAATTGAACGGGAGAATGGGAGGTGAGAATCGAGGTAAAATTGACTCGCTACCTCTCGAGAATGACCGGGTCGATTAGACTTCGTCGCAGGCAAAGAAAGAGAGAGAGAAAGAGAAAGAAAGAGACGTCGGGACAACGTCGACGACAACGACGGCTTCTGGGAACATCTGTGGTTCGACGTTCTTTTATGATTCGTCAGACAAGGGAACAAAGAAGGCGGAAGGAAGAACGGGCCGATTGGACATGCCGTTAGAAAATCTTTTCGCTCGTAACTTCTCGCAGGAAAAAGCCCCTTGCCAAGAAAGTCCGTTGTTCGGCAGCGACGTTTAGCTTAAACGCTCGTGTCTTGGGTAAAAAGAATCCGAATCTTTCCCCGTGGTATCGAACGAGGTCTCGATCGCCGGACGTAACGGGATACGCAAAACCTCGATTCGACGCGCGAAAACACGGCGGCGAATCGCCGCTTCAACGAGCAAGCCGCTCTCTCGCAGATTAATGCGACCGTGTGTTCCTCAGGGTGACGCGAGTCCTCGGGGCACAGCCTACCCATCCATTAGTTACGAGAAGTGAGACGCGCGTAATTGTTATCCGGCGCGAGGTGTTTATCGGAGTCTACGTGGCGTCGCAGCTCGCGCTACTGACGGTTAAATTCTAGAACGACGACGGCGCATTCAGCGCCGCGGACAAAAGCGTCACATCTGAAAACGCGAAGCACTCACCTTGGGTTGCCACGAAGAGCAGCGTGGTGCAGAGCGTTGAAGCCATTGTTGTTGGTGAGGGTGATGTCTGCGGCATGGTCCAACAACAGAGCCAACATGTCATCCCGTTTCTTAGAGATCGCGTCGTGAAGGGGTGTGTCGCCTTCCGAGTCCTGCGCGAACAAGAAAATATTCTCTCCGTTATGTATATCTAGTTGTCTAACGGCTGAAGTACGTGTAGAAACGAGACATGCGAGAGGGATAACTCCTCTCAATCTTAATCTACCATACTACGCCGAGAGGGATAACTCCTCTCAATCTTAATCTAATACACTCAGATATATCCCAATGTTTACAATTCAACACGCGACTGAATTAGCGCATATTGTGACGACCGCGCAGATACTATTTTTCAGTTAGAAATATCTCCCACTCGTTGCGCCGGAATCGATTGTGAATCAAGCTAGCTCTCTGTTGACTATTCGACACGCGACGACCGACTGACTTTCAACAATCGGTCGACGTTTTACATTTATCAGCACGTAGTTTGACCTAAGGTTTCGCACACAAAGTGTCCCCTGCACTCTGTGTTATATCGTCTATTTTCTACCAACGTCGTTAATCCTCTTGAAATCGGAATCGCTTTTTAACCCGAGACAGAGAGGAAAAGAGAGAAAGAGAAAATCTAAGGGCGGGATCACGTAGATAACGACTCGAACCGCACCATTCACCTGGATTCTACAGGACTGGATCAATGCTACGGCCAGTTTTGGCCCCGGCGGTTACCGCTCGGACGATACCTATGAGCTCCAGTCGGCGATAAAACGTACGGAAACAGCGGCCATCCATTAATGCCGAACAACGCGGATACGAACTCGCTAGCAAACAAATGGATGAACGAATGAACGAGCAAGCGTAGGGATAAACGGCGGAGCGATGGGTAACGGCGTGACGTATGTATCCAGTTCACAGACAGCGCACAAGTATTCGTCCCCGAAAACACGACACGATTCCGATAACTTCGACGTCGTTTAATTTAACAGCAGTTCCTAACTTTTCTTTTCGTGAGTAAGAACGATGTGGGAAACCTCGGACCGCGATAGCCTTCAATTTTTGAGTTATGAATATTGCGACGCTGCATATAAAGCTTGACAAAGTATTCGCGAAGCTTGACAAAGTGGCTGATCACAGTAGACTGTAGCGGAGACCATCAATGAAAGTTAATTAAATCGAGCTAGAGTACCATTAGACGAAGGAACAAGTTTGCTTGGAAAAGATATTCGATACAATTCTGTCAATATACTTTGGCACGATGCAGTTGTCTTCTCAACGTACGACGATCGACTGATTTCGACGATGACTCGGCGATTTAAACATAGACACGAACATAGCTCGACCAGACGCTCGATTTCAGGGCGTCTACCAAGCTCTATACAATGTGTCTTATTGTTACAGACACTAGACTAATGCGATATATACAATGGTGTCGAAATAAGCAAAATATCGAAGCGACCGCGTCGAAACACTTTGCCTGTGATATTCGCCGTTTGTCTCGCGCACCAGCCAGCGGCAACGTCGATGCTCGTCGACGACAATAACTCACTCAATGAAAAGACGATATCGGCGAGATACCGGCTTCGCGGTATATCGAGAAACGACGAAGCGTAAAATAGCACCCGCGACAAGCTCATGACGACGCTCCGCATTCCGACGCAAAAAACTAGGAACGAAAAGCTAGAGCGAGCGCGCGCTTTCGCGGCATCAGCCGCTGCCGGCTGCGTAAATAATAGGGCATCAGGCACAGATACTTTATGGGATCAGTTGGAAAAATCCTTTGTATAACTCCAATAACCGTGGAGGATAAATCTGCCGGCGCTGTCGAGAACCGCCGGCGCTATCTCGCGCTATAAATGCTGGCCATGTGTCACGCCACTAGGTGAGGGTAAAAGGGACGGAGAGAAAGAGAGAGAGACGAGGGACAGAGCAAGTCAATAGGAAGCGAAAGGTATGGAGAAGGGAGAAGGCGGATAGGGGTGGAAGTGAAGCGCGAAGGGAGGAGCGAGAGAGGCCGAGAGGGAAAATACAGCGTCGAGACGAGCGGGACTAGACCGAGGCAAAGATCGCGCGGCAGAGTCACGAGACCCTGTCTTATTTACCCGATCTCGGTCATTATTCCCGGCCGTTATTCACGCCGTGGGACCAACGCTAATTACACCGCATGATTGAGCGCGCTTAAGTACGAGCGATTTCGTCATTCGTGAGAAAAATCGCGATGTAGGAGCAGAAACGCTCGCGAAACACTAAGATAAAAATGCTGCTAAATTACGTGCCGATAAAAATCGCTATCCATTCTCGCGGTAACGGACAGGCTCCTGGCCGAAACGCGCCGAAGATAATGCGCTTCAGTCTCGAACGAAGATTTGTACGGGACGAGAAAATAGTGGGTCCCTGGATGCGGACTTTCAATTTGCGACGCTGACGCGCGCTCCTCCACCGAAGCGCGGTCTTTCCGCCCAACTGTTCCTTCCGGGAAAGGGTTTGCGTTATAACCTCTTCTGTTCTCTTCCTTTATATATCTCTACTCTCTCTCACACACTCCCTCTCTCCCTTTCTCTTTCTTTCTCTCTTTCTCTCCGCCGCCCCCTCGTTTAAGTTCAACAAATGACATTCGATTCATACCGAGCGCGCCGCAGGTAGCGTTCGAATAACTTGCGAAAACTTTAATTTCGACATTTCTCTCCGACGTTCCACCCTTCCGAGCCGACCGTTTCCTTCGTCGTCGGGATTCAGCGCCGCTGGCCATCCCCCAGCCCGTCGCGATTCGCTTCGAGACGCTCGATCATTCTTATCGCCGACAAATTGCTGCAGACTTGTCAAATGTAAGAAGTACAAATGATCGGCGCACGAGTTTTACCAGGTCGGACGCTTTGTCACGCATCCTTGTAGAGTCCGCTGGACAACGCGTCTCCGAGGGCGAGAGCGACTCGGTGCCATCCCGAGGTACCACCGAGATACCGATATCGCTCGTTATTCGATAAATTGGGAACGATGAGGACGCGCGCGAACGAGCTCGGGAAACCAAATAAACGTTCACGGATATCCGTCCCGCGAGAAAACTCGTTCCTGGAACTTGACTCGACTAAAACGGATACCCGTTGCGTCGCCTCTCGCTAGCTATCGGCGATGCTGTGTACAGATCAGGTAAACGAGCCGGCGAAATGAGAAAAGACAACAGCAACAACACGGGCGAGCAGCCAGAGCCCGGTCACGAAAGTGTGGATGACAATCAGCGTCGGTGTCGAAGCCGGACGAGGCGACGCGGGAGGGCGGGAGGGCGGTACGGTGGAATCGACGGGGGTGGAAAGTCGAAGCGGGTTGATTGCACCGCAAATATTGACATCGCTAATTCTCCCCCGGCCGTTTGCCTCGTCGAAAGCGACGAGCTACACTAATGAGAGCTTTAAGACATCGGCAAGACGTAGAGCAAACTCGGATTTCACAAGCGCCGTCACTCGAAATCGGAGCAGACATTCGACGTGACTGCAGCTGCGCGAGTGCAGCCGTTGTTTCCGTTGCTGCGCTCCTCCGAGAGGAGCTAATGGTATTCCAAGTGCCGTCGTTTCTTGTAACAAACGCGAATCGGATTAGATTAACTCGTAGTGGTTACGCGAAACAACCACACCTGCATTCCACGTCACCGCGATAATAATCGCAAACGTGCGAGATGAGCGATCGAACAGCCGGCCACGCCGACTAAACCTAAGCTTCCTCTATCACCCGTTTACTTGCCGAAATGAGCATCAAGTGTTGAATTTCACTGTTTGACTGTTCGCTTGAGCGAGCTCACGCTCTATCCCGCGTCCTCTCGCAAATCTACCTGGAAGCGATCGCGAATGAGAGATGGATAGAGACAGAGAGAGAGAGAGAGAGAGAGAGAGAGAGAAAGAGAGAGAGTGTCCCGCATCGTCTCCGGGCGAGCGAGTTTAACTCCTTTTTCGCGACGGCGATCGATGGTGATTTCACCAAGGCCGAGAAGGAACGAGTGCGCGACGAGAGAAGAGACGGGGACGCTCTTCCGCCTCCGTTGTTACCTCAGCCTCCAATTTCTCTGAAGGCTCGGGGTGGAGGTGTTGGAGTCTGGGAAGATAATGCAGACCGTGAGAAAACGGAGCAGAGCACCCTCAAAGTCCGCGCCCGCGCTTGATTGCAACCAACCTTTCCCACCCGTTCCCAGTTTCTACTTTTGAGGAGGAGGCACGGGGATTCCTTTGGCCGATGCACCGGCCGGGAGGACCGGTGGTAAGGGTGCCTCTTCGCAAAGACGAGGACTGGTATGCGGGTCGTGTACGAACCCGGACGCCTACGGGGAGCGGGTGGGGAAAAGGGCCGAGGGGCGCAGACTGCGGAAAGTGCGGAGGCTGCAAGATTCTCCGGGCTGTGTGAGTAAAAGCGGCAAGTGCTAAAAACAAGAATTGGCTAACTCGTTACGCCGATCGTGCCCGGACTGGTTATTCGATTCTTTAGACGCTCGCGTAGGCGCGCAGTCGTGACGCTTGCTCGTCAGAAAGAGAGAAAGAAGAGAGAGTGCCGCGTTAAAAATCAGTCGTTTGTCGTCCGGAGGGTCGTCAGATCGATTATACAGAGCGAGAGCGTAAAGTAATACGTTAAGATAACACGCGTTAGAAACGCGTAGAATCAACTCGCAATCAGCCGAAATCACGCGAGTTTATCATGCAGCTTCCTAATTTACGCCGAGTCAGAGCGCGCTAATTGCACCGCTAGACGAATCTAGATTAAATCACCGAAACACGACGTAGGTGGAAGTTTTGCAGTTGATTGCGACGGTAAAATCGCGCGCCGCGTGGAATCTTAGATGACGTCGCATTTCTGACCGGCGAAACAACGTGTAGTGTTTCGAACCGTAGTATAGTGAGAGACGACCGCCGAGGCATCCCTCGACAACGCAAGCCCCTTGTATTTTCAAATTACTCGTCGCTCGTTTTAAAATCGCACGACGATGAGGCGCCGTGTAACGAGCAAATAAAGTGGACGAATAGCGGCGCTTATTAAAACGGCAATCATAACGCGACGCGCTAATTTTTGACCAACGATTCGTAATCACGTCGCGGTCGGAGGTAATGTCGGAGTCGTAGCCCCCGTTGTCGTAGTGGAG